GAGTGAGTGCGAAATACTCCATCTGTGGTGTAAACGAAGACCTGTTCCACCACTCCGACACCATACCCAGTACATACAATATTAACATTAACAATTTTTGGTAGAAAACAATAAGGGAAGCGCACGGTGGGGCGGGACCCATCGGTGTCAGTCTGGACTCTGTAGTACCTGCTCAGGAATCTTTGGCGTTCCTGCTGCAGGAACAAACAGGTTAAAAATGCTCCAGTCATTAGAGATCAGAGGACAAACATTTAAAGCTGAAGTGAATACAGTGAATACATGACAGTATTTTTTTTTTCTTGAAATATCCACCACTGATGCTTACAGCATTGTGATTACTCACCTCTTCCTGGTCAGCCTCCTCTCTTCCAGGGTTGTAAAAAGAGGTAGAAGACTGGTTGGACCACATGATCTTCGTTTATCTGTGTTATGTGACGGCTGTGTGCAAGCAGGAGTGGTAGGCCACCCAGGCCACCCCGCTGGACACGCCACTGCAACCATGGAAAAATTCAGGGAAGGAAAGTATTCACAATTTGAATCAGGTGAAGGAACAAAAATGAACCCTACAAGATCAATCAGCTAAGCACTGTGGATGAGGCAGCATTCTGAAATTGTTGTTGTGAAACCAACTATAACTCGTTTCAAAGGAGGACTAAAGTTCCACCATGAATCTATAAAAAAAGTAAACCAGACTGTACCATTAGGCTGCTTACTATATCACACTGTCTTTATCCCACCTAAATCTCTATGACCAGTTATGGTGCATATACTTATCAGATGTGTCAGCTAACTAAAAGTATTAAACCAACTCTTCCCTCTCATGATGTTGAGAGGAGAGTGGGTTTGCTAGCTAAGCAAAAGCAGACTGAGGTGATGTTAGCGGTTTTAAAATACCTGAACACGATAGTTGTTCAGTATGGTTCAGGACCCAGATTAATAGAGGAAAATCGATGGAATAATTTAAATTTATTACTTAACCTAACCTCTTTAAGCATAAAATAACACCTGTTGTGTTCACAGTCAAAAGTGACCGGCAATATTTTATTTGGGTATTTGATCAGTCCAGGATACGGTATATGTCTTTGTCCTGTGGTCACCTTGTGACATTTTCAGCTAAAAGCCCACCTTGATTCTCAGCTGGGGATAAGTCCAAGTCTTTGACTTGAATGTGACATCAGCATCAGCATAGCCATTATCTACATCAGTGGATTCGCCCTCATTAGTCATTTCTTGGTCTGGATTATATTCAACTTCTGACACTTCCCCCTCTAATCCATCTTCAGCGTCAGTTTCCTGGCTTCTCTTTCTCCTCACCAGTGTGGTGATCAAATGTGTAATCACGAGCCTCACTCTATATCGACCTGCCACGGTGCTGCCAGCTAGTGCTGTGAGCAAGGCTTAAAAAACAACGAATCATTTCTATTAATGGGATTATTTTTGACCAGGAACACCAAGAGTGTAAAAATGCTCAATAAAATACACAAAATGTTATGCAAATTTATCAAATTTAGGTTGTGGGTTGACATCCTCTTTGTGGAGAAAATCACAAAATCTTAAGTCTGTGTGGTCAAATTAACAACACTTTTCAGACATAAAACTATTAACTAAGTCAAATTTGACCAGAACACAACACAAGGGGGGCTAGTACAGGAGTAACGGCTCCCACCACTGACGCGCTCTTTGCAAATTTCTCGTCATTGTTTTGCCAGACAGTCTTTCCCTGTTAACAGAAATTGTGTGAGCCTCCGATGTGTGATGAAAACAGGATGTCAGAGCAAACCAGCCAGTTCTGGTATTCTCTGGGGAATTCCAATGGATACATGGTGCTGGGCTGCAAGCACAAGTCCCACTGCACGACTGACAGCGTTTGTTCTGTTCCTCATTGCACAAAGCAGCCGTCACTAGTCCTGCTCTCCTTGTTTAACAGCATATCTCCTGGTATCTCTGTCACACTCTTGCACTGTGTCTTGCAGTAACAATGACACTAGCAAAAAGCAAAAGCAGAAAAAAATAGGATGGATTTGGAGAGAGCAATGGTGTTTGGGCACCTTTCCTAGAAGATGGGCAATCGTTTCATTCAGGTTCACAGTCGCACCTGTACCTGTCGCCAAATGCACCTACAAACATCTTCAGCTGTCTATAGCACCAGGATAACTTTTGATGTTCAGTGTGACTCTAAATTTAAGGTGCTCTCGATTTCATAGCTAGATGTCTTTAACTTTTTCTAAGACTTAATGTTAGAGGTTTTTTGTATAGCTCTGATTACAAATTGTTAGTAGTTTTCTGTTGTGGTTTATTTGTTAACAAAATTAAATGTTGAGACACATGAACTAAGTGTGTGATAACTGTGTTGTCATTGTATAACTAAACTTCATCATTATGTAATTTGTCATTCAATCTTATGCAGTCTCATGTGGAGCAATGGCCGTTAGCTCTTTCATAGGCTTTCACTCTAAGCAACCCGAGGAAGTGGTGAAATAAACTGCTTTGCATTGCTGCTCCACTAAGCTCTGTATGTCAGGACTGTTGAATTGGTACATGTTCTTGTAAACTGTCACTAAAAGAAGAAGCTGGATTTTATTGCTCTCCGATTTTTCCCCATAGATTTCGTAAGCAGAAGCTTAGCTTCTTCTGCTTTTGTGCTTGTATAAATATTCCTTGGTCTTCTTATTCTTCATGGCTCAGCTCTGAAGATGTTCCTGTGCTGTTGGCTGGTTCTGGGGGCTCTCATCCCCGCAACCTTAAGCATCAATCCTGGAGTAAAGGTCAGGTTGACAGAAAAAGGCATTGAATATGGTAAGGTTTGTGTAAAAGCTGTCCTCTTGCTCAAAAAGGACTGATTTCTCCAGGGTTTGCTCAGTAAATTATTTTTCTTTACATTTTGTTAGGCAGGCAACTGGGCATGGCTGACATGCAGCAGAAACTCAATTCTATCCAAGTTCCAGACTTTTCAGGGAAAAAGAGGGTGTCTCCAATTGGAAAAGTCCAGTACAATTTGTCAAAGTAAGGCTCCAGTTTGTTCAACATGTCTCTAAATTCTGTTACAAAGTATTTTGTCCTGTTTCCGCTTAAACAAACAAAACACGAATTCTTCCAGTATACGTGTATTGAAGGTGGGAATACCAAAGTCTTCAGTGGACCTGGTGCCAGGGACTGGAGTCAGAATGTCTATAGGTGATGCCTTCATCAGTCTGAATGGAAGGTGGAAGGTCAAGTACCTGCGAATAATGTGAGTGAGGTAACATCTCTTCTTTAGAGAGAGATGTTCTTTATCTGCTTAAAAAGATATTTTTTCTCTTTTACCAGAAAGCACAGCGGGTCTTTTGAATTGAATGTGAATGGTCTCAGTATCGCTACAACCATCTCCATCAAGACTGATGAGACAGGCCGACCAGCGGTCAGCAGTGACAGCTGCTCAGCTGCTGTTGGAAGTGCAAAGGTCAAGTTTCATGGTGGAGCGAGGTGAGAAACCCAGCTGTGAGGGAGAAGGGTTTTACTATTTTACTTCATCTGCAGAATTCTTCTAATTCCTGCTGGTTTTGTTTTTTGATAGCTGGCTGTACAATCTCTTCACAAGGTTTATTGATAAGGCTCTGCGCAATGCGATTCAGAAACAGGTGAGGGCAAATCTGCTACATGCAGCAGAAATCCAGCTTACACACTTTACCTGCTAGGTAAGGTGTCTGCTAGTTCACAGTGTCTCACATTATCTTCCCTCATTTGTTACTCTGAAGTAACCGGATAATGATGAAAATAAAGAAGTAAAGATTTATTGGTTCGGGCTTAGCCCGCAGTGTTTCAAGATACTTTGATTTACCTCCAAAATATGGAAACCTTAGGAGCCTTAGATATGCACTGAAAGCCAGAAGCAGGGAGGAAGGGAGGCAACAAACACAAACCAAACTACACTAACAATGTAGCCTAATTGAAATCATGAAACAAGCTGTATGTGGAATGAAACGTTCAACTGCAGCAGCATTAAGTTTATCATTAAACAAACACATCATCATCTCTTTGCTTTCCCAGTTAGAAGGATTTTGTTTGTTCTCAGAAAAACTTGTGTATGTTTTTTCATTAGGTTATTTTAAGC